ATCTTATTTTATTGGACCTAATTAAACATTGTTAGACCTTAGTGAAACATATTAACCCGTATTAGATCTCATCAAAATCAATCTACCCTTGGTATAAACTTATCATTAGCTCATAGTGTCTAGAAATAAATGAAAATAAGATAAGGAGAACATATCCTAAGAGTTACTTATCCGAACCTGAACTTATAGTTTCTTCTAGACTTATTAGACCTCTTAAACTATTAGCAGAACTTATAGTTTCTTCTAGACTTATTAGACCTCTTAAACTATTAGCAGAACTTATCGATCTAAGCTTTATTTTCCTAACAAAAGGGTACATAATAAATTAATAAGACCTATTATATTGCCACAAATTGGAAATAAATTGAAATTAAAGCTCGATTCCATCTTCAACCACATATATATACAACTTAACCAAAAAAATAAAGATGGGAGCATGGGACCATGGTTTAATTGAACCTGTTGAGGAGAAACTATGCAAACTATAAACCATAATTTCATAATTAATGTAACAACTTTTCCTTTGCTGAGAAGATAATGGCTGTCACGTTAATTAGTATATGTACAATTATTTAATTCATAATAAATAACATCTGCTTTTTGTCTTGTTAGCAAAAGTTTTTTTTTACTACCCGCCATTTCTTAATCTTTTGGATTTGATTAATAATTGATCATTATCTTCAATCATTTGGGAATAATTGGGATTCAAGTCTCATTATATTCTTTAGCACATGTCAAACTGCTTCAACTTTTTACTTAAATCATTTGGTTATCAATACAAACTGTCATATTAATCACAATCTTTGGAAGCTAGTAGCATAATTGAGCTAAAATATCATGAACTATATACATTATAATAATATAAGTACAAACTAAGTATAATATGAGCTACTAATCTTTGAATAAAACCCATAAATTTTAATATGCTATTGTTATTAATTAGTACTTATTGTATGTTAAACAACATGCTTCTAGAAAGTTAGTCGTTTGGTGGATAGATTATAGTGCATGCATATTGGATTTGTCATTTTAATTATCTATTATTATATATAATATATCCGATTCTAAACAATCTTTATTGTGATGAACTATTTGCTCAAAGGTTAAGACTTAAGAGTATTTAATTAAGACAAGAAAAGAGCAAGAATGTGTTAATGTGAGATAGCATTTGGGCTATAATAAGTGACTAAGTCCTTTTGTGTTCGGGTATAGTAAAGGGTAAAAGTGCAAAAAAAACTATAATTCAATTTTCAAGTATAACAAAAGTGTAAATAATACTTGTAAAAGTGACGAACAGATGTAAAAAGTGTGACCAAATGAGAAATGAGCACAAATAACAAAGCACACATGTATGATGTGACTGAATCAGAAATCAATATCGGGTTAACAAATAAATAGCACTTCCTAGTTGATTATTTTTCTCCAATTCTTGGGAAAATTATTATGATTCACATGTGATATGTATACAAGGACAGTAATAATTAAGTTACAATTACACTGATGATGAGGCCCCTTAAACTTAAAGACTAAAGTAGTGGTGGAATATTGTGACACAAATGAGGTGATACCACTTTACGTACGTCATTAACGGCCAATTGGTCATAAAGACCTTAAATATTTAAAGTATTGTACCTAATAACATTGACTGATGCTCAAGGTGAATTTATGTACTCTTATTATGTATGACCCAGATATTATTCCTTATAAACAATGGTGATGATGACATACATTACATGAACAACAATTACAGGGTATCCTCTTTGGTGCAAGGCCTTAGGCTAGTCCATGACATAGTATAGATCAATAAATTTAAAAGGTCACGATAAATCTTGCAAGAACCTATCTACGTGCCTACATATGGTCTCCTAGGTTTTGTTCATACGAGCATATATGTTGAATTCTAAAGGATATGAAACAGACATGGGAGTTGAGAATATGAAACGGGCATGGGCAATGTATAAGAAAGAGGATGGAGGATCCAGTCCACTTACAAGCTCAGAGGAGGTTCAATAGTAAATTAAAACTAATTTACGATAGCAGAACTATTTCCTCTAGCTTATTAGGTAGTAATTTCTCTCATATTTCTCGGTTTCTTCAATGTAAGATAACTTGCACATGATCAACAATAATTGGGTTTAAAAGATAACATAAGATTATTTTAATTAAGAGACGACAATGGGAATCCATCTTTGACAAGTACAAGAGGAGTGAGGAGTCTTCTTAGGTCATCTAATTAGTAGCAATTGCCTTCATGATTGACTTAATCTAAATTTCCACAATACATATCATAGGTTATGGACTTTAAGGACATTTGCTATGGAATATATATGTTAATTTCGACAGGATTGGAGGACTTAATGTGGAAGTTTCCGACATTATCTACTGTATGAACTAGAAAACTTGTTTAAAATGTTACTGATGGATTTTTTTTTTCAGTTAGTATTCGTTGTAAAGTCTAATAAGAAGATAGTAATCAATTTAGTATTAGTAGACTAGTATGAGTATTAAACCAAAAAAAAAAAAAACAATTTAGGGTATAAACATCCTTCTCATTAAATAAACCTACCCAACATATTTGCGTCATAGGTTCACGTCTTTTTTGGTATGCAAAAAAGTAATTGAAATGATAAACATTATCACAATAATTTATCATAAATATTACAGAGTGACTTGTTTAAGAATTAATTATTAAATAATTAAATGTAAATAATACAGATGAATATAGGGGTGTTTAGGACCTGTTCTCATTGACTGAATTGAGCTGAACCGAACTTATTAGAACTAAACTGAACTTATTAGAGCTGAGGTAAACTGAACTGAAAATAATCTGATGAGAACAGGACCTTAGTTTATCAAATTGGAATGGATTAGTATGGACTATAGAATCTCTTATCCAAAAGGTAGGTATTCTAAAACCTATATTAGTCTAAATTTGTTTGGTTATATAGTTGTATGGATTTCATACTTCATTAATAATGAATTGTGAATCTTAACTAGAGAGAGGTAGGTATGGGGTTCTAGGGGCATGGGGTAGAGTTAGAATTCCTTGATTATGAGATTTCTAAAAGACTCTCAAACAAATATATAAATAGAATAAATTCTAACTATATTTCAACTCATTTCAAATGATATAATCCAAACGACCACTAAAATAGTGTGAGATGGTAATACCAGATAACAAAATGAATGTGTGAACAAGAGATACCTTAGAAATAATTTTTAAAAAGAGCTTAAGCTTGAATATATGGTTGTTGGAATTTACTTCTCTGAGTTGAATTAAGAGTTAAGCCACTAAGATTTCTTTTCTTCTTTTTGAGCCAAGCTAAACCACTTACATTTGATCACGTATTAACACTCGTGTTTACGCAAAAACGCAAAATACTTAACGTACGACGATTATTTCTTTATAATATAAGGATGACCCAAAATAATCCTTTGGCATATTCTATTAAGAAAAAGTGATGCATATTTGCTTATTTATTCGGTTATTCCTTTTCGAGTAAAGGTGCTCACAAGTTACCATGTTATTGCTACGAAAGTTCATCTCCCTGCGAGTTATTGTACGTAATGGTATCTGCCAATCCATCTAGGCATCAGTCATTGCATAGATTCGAACAAGATCTCACTTGAATTTAATCATGTCTATCCCTCGTATGTTCAATAAATGCTTGTTATATTAAAGGATACAATGGTAGCATTAGTAGGACAAAAATTAGATGACACTAAGTTGAGTTGGTCTAAGATAATACAGCATTGAACATGAAACAATACATGATATAGCACGAGCATGGCCAAGTATGAAGCACGACACATTAATGTGCGTGCCAATCCGTGGACTAATGCTGCATTTTTGTTGAAAAAGCACAATAAGACGCAGGACAACTAATTTTAATTTTGTTGAAATGGTTTTGGGCACCAAGTTGGCATAACGACATCCTACTAGGGCCATTGGGGAACTCTAGAAATGCCTAATCTTGTTGTATCTGAATAACTATTAGTCTAAATTTGAGACTTTAATGCACAAAATCAAGTAATATTTGGAGATTTTAGGACTCGATGTCAAAAATTTAAGCAATGGTATAATGATACCGGATGCCTCATAAAATGTTTTTGGAAATATATGGAACTACTTGTTGGCAACATAAAAGTTCATGAATCATGATGTTCTTGAGAATCAGATACTGATACGTAACTTGCTACATATATGAGTAGTATATAAGCAAAGTGAATGGCTTCAATCCCCCAAATAGGCTCCTAAAGTCTCCTGACGTTCATGGAAAGCACCTCATCGTCTTTCCTTTCCAAACTCAATAGAGTTGAAAATTGTCTCGTGAAAATCACATTTCAAGTTAATTTTAGATTTTTTTTTTCCAAAATTGAAATGAATATGACTATGTCAATGGTGTTCCTTGAGGTTATAAAAGTTAATTTGAAACCATAACAAGTCTACCTATAGGTCAATAAAGTTCCGAGAATCAGTTATGTTGATAGTTCTGAGAATCCGTTTTGTTGATTTACCCCGCCTATAGCTATTTCGCCAAGACCACGTTTACAAATTATGGCATAACACATAGTTATTGGGCTAAATTGTAGTAGGCTAAGCCTTACCTATCCAAGGCACTCCTACACTTGGATCATTTTCGGTAGGTAAGTGAGAACTTGATGAAGCTTTCGTGATAGCCTTTTTATTTAGAAAACTACCAAGAATTTGAAAAGAAGTTAGTTTCTATTTCGTATGTTTAAAACAACATTATTAACATAAGTTTGACTTTTTTAATTTCAAATTCATTATACAATCTACATCTACCATATATATCATGTAAGACTTTTACAGTTTCAATATAATATTAAAACAAAACCCTTTGACTTTATTCCTTCTACATTAACAACATTACGTCCTAAATTCACATCTTAACGTGTTTTAAGTCACTGCTTGCGTATTTGAGCTAAAATTAACTGCAATTTTTTGACTTTCTTTTTTGAAAAAAAAAGGCTTACCATAGAAAATTTTATTCTTCAATCTGGATTATAGATTATCAAACATAAATCGGAGAGCATTGCACATTTCAGCAGAATGCAGGCTATGCAATGTTATTTTCTCTGTAAACCTCAAACTCGGAGAGCATTGCACATTTCAGCCTGTTCAACTCATAAATCGGCTTTTCTAAGCAGGATTTTTATTCTCTACAACTTTGGGGAAAAAAAAAACAAAAAAAAAAACCAACTATGCACAATTCTGAGACTGGACTCCAAGTAATCTGTATTTCATGAAGTTGTTGGTAGTTTTAGACTAGGACTGGGCTCAAGCCTTTGGAGGACACCAAACTGGCAGCATAATCCCGTGCCCAGAGGTCATAATGCACGATTTCTTCCAATGAAGGTGAATTCACCAACTCATCCCGATGTTTTGCGCAAGTTAGCTCCACAACTTTAAAGATATCCAAGTAGGCTATCCTGCAAACCCACGATACATATTTAATTGTTAGCATCACAATAGGAATGCTCAGCAAGTCGAGGAGACACCATAAAAACTTGAGAAGCAGTTAACATTAACAAGCAACTACGGCTAACAAGTATACAATCAATTTCCTGAAATAATAACAACGAAGTAGAAAGGAAACCACCCAGCATAGGAAGTGCACACGCACGCAACCTTAATATCCTATCATGCCAATCTTTCATGTTTTTGTGATCAGAAAATGCAGGAGTGACATAAAAGAGGGCAATTAATCATGAATGATAAAAAGAATGTAGTTTTTTCTTCTTTTTTGTTGCAGGCAACAAAGTTTCCACTTCAGAAAGCTTGCTATTCAATTCCCTACTAGATTTGAAAGTGTGAATATTTTTACTAATTAAGAAAAAGGAATTCACTAAAAAAATTCAGAAATTAGAGATAATTATAGCTACAGGTGAAATTAACATACTTCTCGGCAATGAACATCTCTACGGCTTTCTCATTAGCAGCACTAAGAACCCCAGTCATAGTGCCTCCAGCACGTCCTGCAGAATAGGCAAGATTCATAGACGGGTACTTTTCATTGTCCGGAGCTTTAAAAGTCAAGGGACCACACCTGCAATATAGCATTCAGCGCATGACTTTCAAAATAACCAACTGAGAGTAAGTAAACAAGTGTTCGTCAATAAAAATCATACTAAGCTTTCTATTCAATATATTCTCTGATTTACTTAATACAGAATTATATTTACCGCTCTTTCTAGAAAGAACTAGATTTATGAAAGTTGTGATGAGGACACACTCCATACATGCATTTGTATAACAAAAGCATCGAATAAATTTTTAAAGCTAAAGCTGGTAAATCCCTTTACATGACTTTTAAAAGCTCACCTCATTCATAATTGATCCCTGAAAGTAAATTAAATTTTACAACCAATATCTATATGCATTCCCATTACTTTATAAATATTTGCTGACTGCTCAAGCTTATATAAATGGGAGAGCATACTTACTTGACGAAATCAAGGCGTGGCCAAGTTAGTTCTGAGCAGTATACTCTATCTGGCCACGACAGTGTGTACAATATAGGTATCCGCATATCAGGCCAACCCAGTTGTGCTATAATTGATGAATCCTGTCATGGCAGAGGTTAATGAAAAATCGGGAACATTTAAGGCAATTGATAAGGCATCTAGGCATCTAGTGCTTCCTATATTATTAATTCTGACTCCCTCAGTTTCACCTTGACAGTCCTAACTCCTGATTTCCACCTTGGGATATTGACAGTCCAAGACTCTTAACCTTTTGCAATTAGGGTGTAACAGATACATGCAATTATTGGTCATATTTTGGCACTCCATGTGCGTGAAATTGTCAACTATCAGACTCAAATTGATATGAAAGTACATCACGGACATCTAATATAGGAGACATGTGCCACATTATGTAAGAAAAATCTTTTGACTTCATTATACTGATCTACCTCAGAATGTAGACAAAGTTATGACCGCAGTCTGCATGGAACTAAGCAGCCCTGATCTCAGCTAAGCTAAAACATAATTGATATTTAAAATGAGACAAACCTGCGTTTCAATCATTGAATGGATGATTGACTGTGGATGAATCACGATGTCAATGTCATCATATTCGGCCCCGAATAAGTAATGGGCTTCAATAACTTCTAGCCCCTGTCAATAATTTAATCAGGAAAAAAAACTCAAAGCAGGAGGGCTTATGGCCCATCATTTTTTTTAAAAGTACACTGCTCCATACAATGCAACAAGAACAGACCTTATTGAACAAGGTAGCGGAATCTATTGTAACCTTCTTCCCCATATTATTCCAGATAGGATGATTCAAAGCACCTGCTACCGTAACCTCTTTTAGCTTTTCAACAGGCCAATCTCTTCAAAACAGAAAAAAAAAAACAAAAGGGGACAAAGGTAAGTAACTACATAACTGCTGGGAATATTTGTTGCTGACAAGCAGTCTCTGAATCCCCCCCCCACCCACGCACGCGCGCGCGTCCAAGATATGATAAAACTGAAAAAATAAATAAATCTAACCCTGTCCTTCCCCCAACCTTCAATAAAACAAAATGAGGTAAGTTGTCGTTGCATGCACAGCAGGGAACGACAAAATATCTCACACCCACATTCATCATATCTAGGTAATTGAGATCTACAAAACTACATTGTTCACAAACCTAAATGATCCACCAGATGCAGTCAAAATAATGCGTCTAAGAGATCCCTCTGTCAATCCTTGGATACACTGAATATAAGAAAACTTTTTGTCAGTTGGACTTCTTAACAAATTCAGAACCACATATAGAAATTCAAAATCTACAAAACGTGAGAAAACTAGAAGCAGCCACCAAATAACACACCCAAACATCGTTGATGATCAAAGTATCTCCATATAAAGTCATATTTACATGCAAGAGCAACAATAGAAACTTACCTGAAATATGGCAGAATGTTCAGAATCAGCTGGGAGAATCTTCACATTATGCTTGCGCGCAAGAGGAAGCACAAAAGGACCACCAGCAATGAGGGTCTCTTTATTAGCTAGGGCAATGTCTTTGCCTGATTCAATAGCTGCCACTGTAGGCTAGAGAAAAGAGAACCGGTAAAACCTCAGAGCTGTAAGACTATTTAATTTGTTCAAAGATTAATGTATGAGAAATCTAATACCTTCAGCCCTGCACAGCCAACTATCCCTGTAACTACTGTAGCAGCATCTGGATGGCGTGCAACCTGTTAGGATAGAAGACAAATACTACTTTAAAAATACATTATCAACAATGATGCACCAGCCAGAGTGATTGAAGTCATTATTACCTCAACTAAACCCTCCTCGCCTGGAATAATTTCTGGCTTGTGCTCAACATCAGCTATAGCTTCTCGGAGTACATCAATTAAGGCCTCATTTCTAAGGGAAACTAATTTGGGTTTGAATCTCTTGATCTGAAATCATAATTATATGTGATAAGTAAGACAGAGGACTTGAATTAAACGGGCACCCAACAACATAGGGGGTTAATTACCGCTCAGCCTCTTTTATGTTACCAACATGCTTGTACTTGAGAGAGTTGCTTTATGTTCTTCATTCATGGAAACCTTTTCATAAAACTACATTCTATGAGACACGAGAATACATATAGTTTATAATGTTTTTGGGTACAAGTAAGAAGGAGACCAAGTGAGGCTCCAGTAAGGAGACTAAGTGTTGGATCATGAAGGGTAGGGGAAGAGGGTGATTAAGAGTGATATGAGTGCTTTGGGAATTGAGGAAAGTATGGTGTTGGATAGGGCGGTGTGGAGGGAATAAGTTCATGTCAACGACGTGTCATGATTACATAAATGTACTTTTGTTTATTTTATTTTAGTATTCTTTGATTATTTCATTACCCAAATCGTGTTTAATGAACTTTATTGATTTCCTTTGCTAAAGGTTTTTCAAACCATTATGATTTTTTAACTCACACGTTTTTACAACTCGTTCAAAACTTTCTTGAATTTTATTCTTGGTTCTCTTTAATTGGATGTTCTTTCTTTTTTCAATTTACACACCTTTTTTTAAACACTTTCAAGTGATTATCTTGCTATGTCCCTTTTTCCTATATCAAACGGTTCCTTACGATGATTCATGTTAGCCAGCCCCAAATCATTTTGGGACTAAGACTTCGTTGCTATAGTTGGTACATGTGCTTGTTTGAATATTAGTGTCAAACTTATTAGTCACAATTGAATATCTCCAAAGCTGTTAAATTTTTTCAATAGTATGAGAGGGCAGTTTATTACTTTACTTAGGGGGTGTATGTTTAGAAGAGGTTTGTGGCAAAAAGCGAGGTTTGCAGCCATTAGAGAGAGAGGTTTGAGGCAAAAGAGCCGCTTGAAAACTCAAACCTCAGACGTGATTGTTTGGTTAAGAAAGGATTGAGAGAAAGTTTTGAGTCCAAGCAGCTAATCTTGAAAAAACTAGTACTGGGAGCTTTTTGTTGAGAAAGGTTTATTGTAGGCCCCATTCTATTCACCTTAAAACAATAATATTTGGTTAAATATTTCAATTCTAAAAAGTTAAACAAAAATAAGAATTTTTTTTTTTTTTTTTTACATATGCTTAATAAACTGAATTAAATTATTACAAACTACACTAAACTACTTAAAGGAGCCTTACTAGCTTCTTCATGAATAGGAGTATCTATCAATCAATCATCAATAATCAATAATTATATTCTAGTTAGACACACCAACAATGACATGTGTTATTTCCTGTGCTAAGGGGTTTTTTTTTTTTTTTTTTTTTCAAAAATAAATCTATATATATAATTGAAGATTTGATGTATCTTTCCAAAATATATATATTGACAACTATAAACTTAAGCAAAATATATGAAAAATAATATTCTTAACATCATTTGTTATGGACTATTTTTTTTTAGGAAAGACATAAATTATGTACAACATATATTTATTATAACAAGATTATATAATTTTTTTCTTGATTTTATTTATTTATTTATTTATTTATTTATTTATTTATTTATTATGTAATAGAAGCTACAAGGTTAAACAATGAAATGCGAATATCTAATCAACAAATGATACTTTTATTATTTCCTTGAATAATTTATGATTAGAATTTAAATCAATTAGCACTCTATGGAAACTTCAATAATACTTGCTAAAGATGACACACGTTGATGATTCTTAGTGTGATTTTTTCTTGTCATTTTTGTTGTTTTTAAGCATTCAATTGATTCAAATAATGATCCGAAATCGTGTATTATACCCTTCAATTTTGGACAATTTTTCACTTTTTTGGACCCGAAAATAAAAATTGTCGAGATTCTTCCCATGGACCCTAATACACCCCGGGAGTCCGTTTGGGTGGGTAAAACTATCCAATATACCTTGAAACTGTCAATTTACTCGTTTAGAACTTATTTACAACTTGCACTGATTTCATAAACTCGAGGCTACCACGAACATCTATGGCAACATATAATGATCATATATGGTTCCAAACGACATTATATGACCCTGGGATATATCCCCTGGTATCTCGAGACTTTTCGACACCGGGTCCCGATAACTCCGAAATTGGCCAAAAGCGTGTATTATAGCCTTCAATTTTGCCAATTTTTGACTTTTTTTTACCCGGAAACAAAAATTGCCAAGAAACTACCTATAGACCCTTATACCCTCCGGGAGTCCAATTGGGTGGGTGAAACCATCCAGTTTGCCTTTAAGCATCCAATTTACCAATTTCCGTACACGCCACTTGTATTGGCAATAAGTTTCCACGGGGCCTTTATGTAGCTGAGTTATGGTTGTATATGGGTCCAAACAACATCATATGACCTCGGGATACATCTCATAAAATTCCGTGAATTTCTGACACCGAGTCTGGATACCTACTAAATTGCTCCAATTTTGTGTATTATAGCCTTCAAATTTGGCTTCCATACATCATTTTTTCACCCAACAAGATTATGAATCAAGTACTTCCATGAGTTCCCAAAAGGCCTTAGGAGTCATGGATGATGCCCAGAACCATCTCATTCATCCTTAATCACCATGTCTTAAGGCAACGATGGCATACCCTCAAACGACAAAACTAGTTGTTTGTATGCCTTGTCCTTGGGTGCACATGTCTTGTACACATGCCACACACCCCCTTGCACCATCCCACACCCCAACAACTTTGGCTTTGTCACTTGTCTCAATCCACTACTTAGCATTTTTTAGCATATAAGAAGCAACGTTAACCTCGTTTTGAATGTATGTAGCATACGAAAATATATAATGTTAATTTTATATATAGTTATTGAAAATTACTATGCATGATTCAATTTCTCTGTAAAAATAAGTTTTAATCAGTAAATGATTCAATTTCAGCAAATCTTTCTCTTTTTCTTTTTTTTTTTTTTTTTTTTTTTTTTTCAGGTTCAGCAAAAATAAGTTTAGTTTAGTTAAAATCCAGTGAAGAGAACAAGGCCATAGTAAGAGGAAATGACTCTTCTACCCTAAAGTTGAACAAATTTACACCCCTTTACCAAGTTTGCATAAATTAATAATAAATTATGCATATGCTTTTATTTCTCATTCTACACAATAAAGTAGCCATCAATTAACAGCTAATTATCAAACACTTTTATAGAGAACATAATTAGTTACTACAGGTAACTACTCAAACCAGCTTATGCAAACAACTAACAAAACTAGTTAACCTCTCACTGCTAAACAAGGCCTTAATATAAAACAATTTGCCAGAAATCTCCATATCGCACTTGGTCTTAAATTACTCATTGAGGGTTTCTTTTAGGCACCCCTAAATTGTGATTGGATAAAGAAAGCATCTCAACGGTGGCATAATATTCCTATCAAAACAGTTGCAATCACACTTTCATTCATAGAGTATTAACAGATAAGATAAGCTAGCAGGTAACGATGGTCCACATTATTGATAGACTGATCACCTGATCAGCCAGAAGAGTCACATTTGAACCAGCAGCGAGAGCTACAACTTGAAACTTATCTGGGTGTTCTGCAACAATGCTTAAGGTCTGCAAAGCACGAGTCTTAATTAGAACAACAAAACATTAGACAAATTAAAAACATATCGATCTCTCCTGACTGTACACCATATTTCCTAAAACATACACAAGTCAAAAACTCGGCATTGTGAAGACATGACACTTTCAAAACATACACAAGTTTCAGGTGCCAAAATGTTGCACAAAGTTCTTTAGCAATAGTGTGATTACCTGAGTACCAATAGAACCAGTAGATCCAATAATTGAAATAGGTTTTGGGCCATCCCAAACCTTACGATCAGGCTCCGCTACTGCTCTTCCTGGCCAGGCTGGAGGTGGTGTCTGAGCTGAACAACAGATCTTTTTGCTAAACGTTTGAATGTCCTTCCTTTTGCAAGAGAGATTACCTAAAAGTACTTGGAATTAAAATTAATTCTACAATACAGAAAGCAACATTGAACTTATACGTTTGGTCTCAAATTCGGAAATTCCCAATTTACTCCCCCCCCCCCCTTTTTCCTATTTCATTTGGGTGGGAGTGGATGGAGGTTAGACAAATGTTTAAGAGTCACATAGCTAAAAGAGTAGAAAATAAAGAGTTTCTATAATAAATAAATAAAAAATAAAATAAAATCTATGTCGACACTTGAAAGCTTAAAATAGTCCTAGATTTCCATTGACTACCCAAATTTTAAAATGTCAGTATGTGTGGTGTTGGTTTGCCAAGTCAACTAATTAAACTATGCCCACTAGTCCACTACTTTCTGAGGCCTTTGTGAAAGTATAGCATACAGCTATTTGAACTTTGAAGTGTGTTTGGAAACTCGATAGAGCCCAAGGAAACTCATTTGATTGCAAGTGCTTGATATCATAAATATTTGCACACAATACTAATAATATGCTCTATGTGAGAGTGAGGGATAGCTCAAGTAGTTAGAGCTTCTCCCCTTATTCCAAGTGATCTTGGGATCGATTCTCATTCCCACCCTTGTGCCTTTTCAAAAAAAAAAAAATGCTCTATGTACAATAAAAAAGATAGCAAAACTAAAAGATGTTTCACTGTCCCCCCAAGTCCTCTTAACACAATCTTAAAAGGCATCTGCAAGTCCATGGAACCAATTTGATATATTCCTTCACAAAGCAAATAGTACGTTACACAAAATGAATTAGCAACAAAGCTCCAAGCAATCCAACTTCACAAAAAACTCTCATCAAATCCATCAGCTCAAAACTCATAATCTAATAGCTTTTACAACTAAGTCCCTAAAGTCATGGAAAAATTAAAGGTCTAAACAGCAATCTAAATTTTGTACAGTAGATGCATTTCAATATTTTCTTTAATCCTGCCATAATCTTATGGATGGGTACAATATCAAAGTTGAACTCAAGCATGCTAACTAAGTCTCTATTAGCACTCCCAGGGTGTTCCTAATACACTCGGCCACTCGGGTGCACCATGACATGTGACACGGACACACGGTACACCCACACTCAATTTTTGATCATTTAATCCTATTTAAAAGCTAAAGTTCTCCCAAATGCGCAACGAAATCCTTCTTTGTACAGTACACCCCAGTGCATAACAGAAATTGCGTAACAAGCCCGAAATGGCCTAGAAACTAGACAAGGTTCCATAAAAAGTACACTTAGTAAATAAAAAATGTTGACCCTCCAAGATAGGATTTGTAACCAACAGTTCAGCATAATCTAGGCTTCAAGAGCACAAAAGCATAGTCAAATCAAAAAATTCCTATATAAATCCCAGCTTAGTGATAATAAAAAAAAAAAAAAAAAAAAAAAAAAAAAAAAAAAAAAAGCATGAAATAAAATATTCTCAACATGTTAAGCGTTATAAACAATACAAGTAAACAACATTTACTAGCAACAATATACACCAAGTCACCAACCCCAGATAAATAAACAAGAAACTGCTACTCAACAGCAACTTAAACAGTCAGAAATTCTTGACACCCAGATCACCAAAACAGTAGCAGAATCAATTAAAATCCATTTAAACAAAGAAAATGAAAGCTAAAATTCCACAAATTAATAGAACATTAATTGATAATTAAAGTTTATACCTTTAAGTTTAAGATGCTGAGTTGAAGAATTAGAGGAATCTAAAAAGGAGATAGCTCTTATCTCTGCTGTTGACAAGAAATTTAGAGCCATTGGAGCTCTGCTTCAAACTGTACACCCAGAAAGAAAAAGAAAAAAAAAATTCTTAGATTAAATTATTTTTTTTACAATTTCTTTTTGTAATGGGGTAATGCAATAATGCCCCTTTTAATTGAATTTATATTGGTGAAAATTTACAAAAAAAAAAGGGAAGAAATTTGAGAGAATAACGTTAATGGGGCGGTGTTTTTAAATAGGAAAAATAACAAGGATTGGCCTTGGATAAGAGTACAATTGTGGCCCAGCAAAAAACCCAAGATTAAACCCAAAAATGGGGGAAAATAATTCAAAAACAATCCAATCAAACAAAATTTGGGATTAGTGGACGACTGGTCGACTGGACGGGATTACGTAATTCGTATATTTCTAGATTTGAGATTCAGCTTGTACTCGTAATATATACTCTTTTTGTCTCTTTAAAATTGTTCAACTCATAATATTTTATAATTTTTCGTTAATCTTATCGATATCATAAATGTTTTTTTTTTTTGACAGGATCATAAATGATATTAAGGGTTTCTAAATTCGTGATCTTATTTTCATATACATGTACTTTTGGTCATATTAAATTTGTTTACGCGATTGCATCCTTTTAAAACATTTTTTAAAAAAAAATCATGTTCTAGCATGACAATTTGTAAAATACAAGTTTATGACCTCAAGAAAATTGAGTGACAATTACAAATATCAGCAAGTTTTAGTTAAATATAGGTCTATACTTGTTGATTTTGTTACGAAAATGTCATGCTTATTAGATATTATTGTTGACTAATTTACCATTTTACCACTTGATTATAGAAGTATTTTGTTTATTAATAAGGTGATGAATTGGGACAATGAATCTCAAGACACTCTTATAGGAATGGAGTTATAAGAGCAGCTATGAGAATAACTTATAAGTACTACTAATATGTAGTTCCACTCTTTTAATACATATTTAATGATAACTACTCATTCTTGTTCAAAAGTTATACTCCATATAAAATAATAAGGAAATACGAAATTAGGATACAATAAATGATGTTAAAAAATAACCCAATCTAATTCAAATTGACGCGTTTCAGAATTTGATCTGCATAGACACAATAAGTAGCCTAATCATACCCGAAATGACCCTCCGAACCTTGTCAATGACCCAAGTTAGCATCTCTACCATCACAATCTAATTGTTGGAATTAATTCAATTAAACTTGCACCATACATTTTATGTGGAGTACTTATAGTCTTATACTTGTAATATTGTGAATGGAGTATATTGATCTTACTTATGAGCCTGTAAGGATTATAAAAACAAGTGTAAATAAAACAAAAAATATATATATAAATATAAAGTAAGATAATTTATAATAAAAAGAATAATCTGTGATCATAAACTTTCAAACTAATATTTTTTATTTTTTTTTTTGGAAAATGATTGCCCAAAATTATGATCATACATAGACATAATAGTCGTTAATTTAAGTTTTTAACTAATTCAAAACTACTTATGCTAAAAAAAACAAAATAAAAGTGATAGAATTAGCTTACAAATATCTCTGGGTCTGAATAGAATTAGGGCTTACCTTCTTTTCTTCTACTTCTTCTTTTTTCTTTTTCCTTTTTTTTTTTTTGGTGAAAGAAAAATTATTATTATATGCACTATTGGTATAGGTTTAATTAATAGTCTAATAGTAATACAGTGGTTCATAATGATCACAAATATCATTTTAACATTTTTGGACACATCCAACACAATATTTTATAACATGAATGATTGTGATTTTGTGAATAGTATAATGATAATTGTTGATATCTTTCTTTTTTTTGATGGATTTAGTTAGAAAATACGGAGTATTTGGTAACAAAAATAATTTTAGTGACATTTAATATGGGTTAGGATTTAGGAATGAGGTTTTATCCCAAGTATCTAGTAATCTGAATTATTCAAAAATTTAATTTATTGAATTTGTTTCCTTTTGCAATGATTGTAAATGATATACAAAAGTAACGGTTGATATCTTTCCCTTTTATTTATTTATTATTTTTATGGATTTTTTTAAAGAATTATTTTTATGGATTTAGTTGAACAATATTTAGTGACTCAAATAATTTTGTGACAATAAAATGAAAAAAAAATACAAGTTTATCTCATTGATAAAAAAAATATATTTATCAAAAATGTTGAAATATATTTTAGTGACAATATAGTGTAGGTTGAGCAATGAATTGTGTTTTTTTTTTTTTTAAACTATGAACTCAATTTTTCATAAGAATAACTTCATGTTGTCCATAAAAGTAACCCAAATTCACCTCATGTTGTCCACAAAAGTAATCCAAATTCATTATACAAGTGAATTCAAGTAATTTATAAATAAGTAACTCTATTTGGTCATTCGAATAACTTTTATTCTTTTGTTTTAAAAAATGAAAGAATAATTCCACTTATTTAAGGAAGTAACCCCTATTTATTATTTAAGTAACCTACATACTCATTAAGGTAATCCCATTTGCTCATCACTGTAACCTCCCTATTACTTAATTAATCGTCTTGTATGTGGTTATGTGAGGTGGCCACACCATGTGGCTAACCTGTATAAGACTTTGTGTTCTTTAATAATATTGATATGCTTTATTTTTTGTAAAAAAATAGTCAACAAAAGGTAAACAACTAAATGATTAGCCCTTTTTAATGGAAAAAACCAAAAAAAAAAAAAAAAAAAAAAAAATGGAATCCCCAGAAATATGGAGGGGAAAAAAATAGAGAAGCTGACTACAAAATGTCATAGATCATAACAAACCTAAAGTTTGGTACTTCGTAATTTGTATAAGGGATCAAACCTGATCTGAGAAGAAAGACTTCCTTCAAATGAAAGTAAAAATAAATGAGCCTATTAAAGAATAAAAATTAATAATTGACAAATATTTTTCCTCAGAAATCTAAATTTCTAAAGCAACCGGAAATCTCACTCATCCTATGTACTTGATGATGGTCGAGGCTTTGTATAAATAGAACTTTTTACTAGACTTTTTCATCATCTGTGGAATCTTGTCCATGTCTTTGCTTGGGCGTTGTATGGCTCCGACGCTCTTTTCCACCGGGCTTTGATGAGGCATTTCCATACCAGATCATCCCTAATACAGCTATCATCATACCTACTACCACCTGTAATTTCAGACCTTCTTTCCCGAAAAAGACAAACCCTAGAATTAGAACAAGGATTGTCTTCATATGGCCAAGTACTTGGAAGGACACAGCTGTGAATCTACCGATGCAGATAAACTGGCTCAGGTTTGTTCCAATTGCAATTATGCATGAAAGAATAATTAACACCTGAAGGAACCAAGAAATGGATATATGAATATAAGAAAATAAAAGGCTGATATCAGCAGACAGTAACAAATTGATATACATCACAAACAGTTTCTACTCCAATATGGATATATTACATCTGCGTTAATTCACTCCAACATTTAAATGATGTTTCAAGCTTGTACAAAGAGCCAGTAAAAAATAATCTTAGACCTAAATTATTCATCAGTTGATCAGTGTGCATTTGGAGCATCAAAGTTTTGCAATATAGGTGCAGCAGGATAAGTAGAAAAGGCGGAACATTTACAGAGTAGAAAATGTATCAGACTGTGAACTCAGTCTCACACTAGCACCTCAGTACCCCACTATTCCCAGGGGTAAGGTAAGCACAGATATACACTAAAAAGAAATGCAAAAAATGGTGCACAAAATCAGCAGCACAATACTGAAGGAAGTTTTCAGATACCTAAAGCCACATGTATGACATACTGCACATAGCACAAGTTATGATAGTCCAGCTTCAGCTAGTATAAAACTATTCCAACTAAACTGTCAATCATAACTTTACAGTGGAATTAGCTACAGGCATCCTAGTCAAATAGAGTCGAGCACATGAAACTACAAGGAAACTCTTGCCAGGTTCCACAACATGCATGCTTTCTTAAGCAGCCCATAAAGAAGGATGACAAGGAAAGCGCCCATCAGCAGCCGCCAACAATGAAATTGAAATTTGAAATGGCCCCCTCTCCAAATTCAAATGAAAAAACAAATGTTTTGAATACTGATTAAAAGTCTACTTACCACAGATGGTGTAGTATAGTTGAATGCATCAATTCTCTTATCTGTCAGCCAGTAATCCAGGAACGGACCCAGTAGAAGCAGGGTTCCAGCCTGCGCTGGTGCAGTGTGGCCCAAGAGGTTGAATGAACTGAGTGAATACTTCTTTTGGAGAAAATGCACATACAGCATACACAACACAATAAAGTTTAATAATAAGAGCAATAAAGAAGGTATGACAAGGTAGAAAGCCTACATTCTGTCAAAGCTTCCCTAGTAATAAGAGAAGAGAAAGCTAAAATGGAATACAAATGATGAAAAGAAACCATTCTTGACTTGACAAGCAGATCTCATGCAAGCCTGCTCCAATACTTCAATAATAAAAAAAAAATGCTATCTTTTAAGAGTAACATAAAGTAAAATTAATTGACAAGAAGCCTATTGTCCATTGTCTGCAAGTTGATGAGTCGACATGATAGTGGAAAACTTACTATAAATCCAACATATGATTAGCTTCGGCAAATGAAATCTAATGATTGAACATAAAGATCAGAAAATAGGAACAAGCATAAACGATACTAGATCTGCATCTCGATAAGCCCCAATAAACCATGCCTTGGAGAAAAAAGAAATTCCTCACAAAAGCTATGAAATCTGCAAAGCCATCTGTTAAAAAAGTTAACACCAAAAGCTTCCGTCTATCTAATTAAATCTATTATTCCAAAAGCATCTGGCCAGTAAAAACAAGCCTTCTGAAACCTTGTAATATATTATGAACTGACAGATCTACAATAAAAATCAAAGGAAGAAGAATGAGATTTAGATTGAAAATCCTGGAATTGCAGAAATAAAAGGATAGAATATCATTTTTTTTTTTTTTTTTTTTTTTTTTTTGAGAACAGAATATCATGTTTTTGAGTGGCCTTATCACTCCCAAAAGCTAAACAAACCAAGGCTACCAAGCTATCAATGCAATATTCTATATGCCCTCTTCTTTTCATACTCTCCCTTATTATAGCATTTTCGATTCTCCTTCACCTCCAAGTCTCCAACTACCTTCCTCCTCAAGATAGAGTAGATATTACTAACAGAATAATATTGGAGTATTGAATCACCTATAACGCCACTCACCTTAAGCCAGTTCATAACGTAATTACCGACATACAATACCATGGGTATTAATAAATAAACTAATGCCTCATATAATTAAAGTTCACTTCATCACCATTTCCAGCTAAAAAGCTGTATAAAAGCTCTGATTAATTCCCAATCAGCTTCAACTAAAACCAATAACAACCACCCCAATCTTTTGTTCATATCACCAAGCAAACAATTTCACTTAAAATATGTCAAATCATTAAGACTTTCCTAAGCTGATGTGTGACAAATCTGTTAGAGCCCAATCACTGAAAAGAAACCATACATCTAAAGGAACTAGAACTTTGTTGCATTGTAACAAATTGCCAATATGAAAGGAAAAAGGAGAAAGCAGAATTACTGCCTCTACAGATTAATCCTGGCTTTTCCACTGAATCAGTTTGCTACATACATATTACAAAACATGACTCTAGACTATAATCCTCTTTCTGATGTATACAACATAGAGCACTACCATTAGTACCATATCCAAACAGAACACAGGACTCAAAGAGAGTTGTTGTGAACAGATTGTGTCGCCTGTCCTTATGGCTCAATTGCCTAAAACAGAATATATATATATATATATATATATATATATATATATATATATATATATATATATCCAGTAAATACAATCAAATACCCGATCAAAATTTTAAACCATCAACATGGCTAGGTCACAGTCAGAGAAAACTCTGCATTCATCAAGTCTTTATAATCCCAGAAATATAAAGAACATCATTTATACAGCCACATATCAAGCATCAAACCACAAGTATATACTGTCCTTAACTGTTGATGGAGACTACATGGCAATGGAAGTAATTTTGAACTTACATATTGCTGCAGAGCAGTACTCCACACTGCAATTGATGCTGCTACAAAACCTTTCATATTTACACTCACGTCAGTAACAGTACAGACACCAACACCTATCAGCACGAGCCCAATGCTGAGCTTGGTGTCTCTGGAATATCGCATGCTATCAAACACGATCTCAAAAAAGCACAGTACAGGAATCATGCTCAACTTTGCTATCTGAGAATTAAAAGCTTAAGTTTACTGCAGGAATAATATGAGAACTAAAAACAGAAGATATAACCTAACTGATCTCTCACCTGATAAAAACCTACTGAATTCCACATAAGACTAACATTCATGCCAACAATTGAAAAGTTAGCAAATAAGACAAATTTCAACAGCTCCAACAGAGGTAAATGGGAAGGTTGTATAAATCCAAGCCAGCGAAGAACGATCGTCATCAAAGTAGTGGCAACAAAATGCAACCCAGTCAAGGTTGTTGCTGCAAAATGTTGTTAATAAAGTCATTAAAATGAAAGGAAAATGATGATACGAAAATATGAAATGCATATAACATATATGCAAAATCATGAATATATAGGCAGCTAACATGAACCTTGAACCATTGACTCTGTCAGAAATTAAGAGGTTGAGAGAAAGAGGAGAACAAGCACCAGAAGCTTGCATATTCTCTCACTCAAATAAAGCATCTAGTAAGCATGGAAGAGCATATACAACAACAACAACAACAACAACAACAAAGCCTTAGTCCCAAAATGATTTGGGGATGGAAGAGCATATACAATGACAATAAACAGATGGCCTATTACAGAAAAGTGAAATGGGTTTGAAAAAAAGGAGAAATAATGACACTCTAGGGTAATACACTCCACAAACAAATCTTTCCAAAAGCTCCAACAGTGCCTTCTCATTTCTCAAACATTACTGATAAATCATCATTAAAAAAATATCTTCATGAAACCACATTCTTACACGCAATGCTCCTTTTAATATGATGTACTTCTACCATAACAGATAGCTCAACCATGACAAGTCTCTGAAGTTTGAACACATCCATATTGATGTCAATGAACTTCAAATCCAATTTCTCCACCCTACCGAAAGCTTTGTCTTTTCATTAAAATGCATGTACAAGAGTGTTCATTTATGAGAATACATGTGTATGAGAAGTCACAAATAGAACACCTGCCAAACAATTCGATATTGAGAACAGCAAATAATCTCAGACTAGAATTCAATTGATGGTCACACATGCATTTTTCACATGTGTTGAGCACGTACAAATTTCATACTAATAGTTTTGTTCACATCTAAGCAGTTAGTTGTTAGAAACACGATATCATAAGGCAGCAGGACTTTTACTTCCTTGCCTTGATAAATGCCGTTATTCAATTGTAATATGAACATATCCCAACACCAATATTATACAGTTTGCAGTCGCATAAACACACATCACGATATTGCTAAAGCAAACTTCATAAAATTTTCATTCATTTCACCATAAGAAGGATACATAAAGGAACTACTAACCAAAACTAAACCCATAGGTAGCCATCAACGCCTTGTTAACAATAATAACTCCCACCGAAGTAACAACATTGAACATCCAAGCAGCCGCGTCAACTGCAGCTTTCGTATCCGCCTTGCTAGCTGCAGCCATCTCTCTAAATTAAAATATCAAGTTATAAAATCCTCAGCCCACAGCTTTGTTAAAAAATTGGCAAAATTCCATGTGCCAAAACAAGCCTCTTCATATAACACTTTTCTGCAAAAATAGAGTGTAACACCATAAGATTACGGTAAAATTTCCGAAAACTCATACTTGTACTACATTGATCATGCTTTACTAATAATTAGCATAGTAACACTTGTGGCATCAAAATGCAATAATGTATCTTCAGTTCTTCATAACAATTATATGATACACGATCATAACCGACAAGTAATAGTGCATTGATATTTTAAACGACATATAACAAATAATTAAACTTGAACATGTGATTTACGGGATTTAACGTTGCACTAAAAATTTAGGAAATTTTCATCATCATAAAAGGTCTAAGAACCCTATCACCCTAAATTTCCCCCAAATTAAACCAAAATCTCAGGAAAACCCTAGAATTTAATCAATTTCAACAATGAGGATCAATAGAATTTCTGGAATTTCAAAACCTTACAAATCAAATTAAAATTAACTCAATAGAAATACATTTAGAAAATCAAAGGAAAAGTAGAGAGGAGAGAGAAAATCACCTCAAGCACAAGCTCAATTGCAATGGTGTTAACCATTGAAGAGGAAGTTTCTGGAATGAGGGAGGGAGAGTGATGGAGAGAAGAGGGTCAGTTACGAGTATCACTAGAAGTGATAAATGTTTCCATTTTTTTTAAGTTTTATTAATTAATTAATTTTATTGTACCAAACTAAGTTATCAAGTGCATAAAATAATTTTCGACACATTAACGCATGATAATTTATGAAAAATCTATTGATAATTTGATATTATTTGTTAATCTAAGTCAGGTTTTACGTTTCCCGGTCTACAATAAATTATTGTAGACCCAAAATTTGACACTTTCAAATAATATAATCACATTCTGAGGGGGCGTTTGGTTCGCGGAATATAGGTATTAGGTATGGGTATAGAATGATCAAAACCCATACCATATGTTTGGTTGTCAAAAATATGATTTTTAAACCCATACCTCAAACCCATGAGGTATGGGGTTTAGAAACCTTGGGGGGAGGGTGGGTTTAGCTCATTCCCTTTCTTTAGGTATTAAATATATGAAATTAATGGGATGATATTTCATTTCAGAATTGAACCAAACACATGGTATTAAGTATCAAGTTCCAACCCGATACCACCTTAACCCTATTCCTGATTCCAAACATATACCACTCTGCAAACCAAACGCCCCATAAATGATATAATCACTTTTTTAGATGATATAATTATCTGTTTGTGAGTCATATTTTGATCTCATATTAAACCATTTAATGAGATTATATAATTATCTTTAGGATGATAAAATTTAAAAATCATCTTTTGAATGATGTAATTTACTATTTGATACTTTTTATAATGATAAATTCACTTTTTGAGTGATACATTTACATAATAGTTTCAAGATGATATAATCACTTTTGTAATAATATAATCATATTTCGTATGATATAATCACATTCGTATGGTATACTAGGTTAGGTCTACAATAAGTTATTGTAGACCGGGTCTATTCTAGTCTTAATATTTACCTTTATGTTAAGTAGGAATCAAAAAACAAATTATATTGGTTGAAATGGTATTAACTTAGGAATTCATTACAAAATCACGCGTCGTTCGGTGTAATTAATGTTAATTTTACTCTAATATTTGCACTTTAATTCTCTTATCTAACGCCCCGGGGGCGCTCATTAGCTTTTGCCAAAAGATAATGATAAGCGGTACTGCACATGTAAATTTGTCACAAAGGAAAACCATGACCCTCTCAAGAACTCTAATGTACATACAAAGATGAATATAAACTTTTTTTTTTTTTTTTTGAGAAAATCTATTATAATCTTTATCTTGAATTTAGAATTCAAAAGATAAGTATATATTATACAACTATACAAGTACTTCATCAGATAAAATTTCATCTGTTTTTTTTTTTTTTTAACAAAAATAAAATGGAGATAAAATTTCATCGGTTTAAACCGCCACCCAAAAACTATTTTGTGCTAGCCTTGTGGAGTTGTGGTTAAGCCAGGGGGGTGGGGAAGGCTGCTCAAGTTGGTCATAGACAAGCCATGGTCTTTGCTGCCTCCCCCTTTGAAGTCATCTTTTTGCTCATCTACTTCAATTCTTCATTAGGTGAACTCAAAACCCACCTCATGTCTCTGAGCCATATGAACCGTGTTGGACTTATAGGTTAGTCAACTCTTAACACTCTCATATGAATAACAATATGCTTGTAAGATCCTCTCCAAAAAAAAATCATATGTTTGTGAGATGGCTTTCGATGAATGTCAAGTTCTCTGACTTATCATTCCATGAGTCACTTCATAATGTGCAAGGATGCATAAACGGCAACCCAACAAAATGCCTCATAATCCTGTCAAAGTCTTAGATAATCAATATGAAAATAGGTTCAAATTATAATTCAACCTCATATTGTACTTAATTATTATAATTTGATCATATGTACAAGTAGAGACAACTTTGTAGAATTTGACAAATAATCGTTCAAGACATCTGTTCATTATTAACAATTTACTTGGGCCCGTGTCCTAAGAATTTCGATTCTAGCTAGACAAGCCACAATCAAATGAAGTAAAGACAATGAAGAGACAATTCTAGGAGCCAACAATGGAATTGTCCTAACAAGATGAAACCTGGATGATTTGCTCATCATAAAATCGACTTACATTTGGTCATCCATCTAAAACCAAGAGGAATCAAAATCCAAGCGCATATTATCTTTTTATTTCGTATTGTAGAGTGACTGCAACGAAGATGATCCACTGGAAATCTTTGATTGAACTATATTAAAGAATGCATAACCCTATACTGTGGATACATCAGTATACTAATTACTTGGTAGTCACCAATCTGTTATTCTTGATATACTCTGTGCTCCACATTACATATTAAGCACTTGAGACGTGAATACGGTAAGATTTAGAATCCATCTGTTTGCTTCTCTATTCACATCTCAGTAACTTGCTCTTCTTCTTGCTCTTCTTGAATCTCACTAGAGAATGTTTCTGATCTTTCCCCTTCTACATTCAAATCTAATTTACCAACAGTTTCAGACAACTGTGTAACTCTCTGCAACTCATCAAGCCCCTCCACAGGCTGTGGTGCTTTGTCAGCCCCCAGATTAAAGTCCTTTGGAATTGATTTAGCCTGTCGAATGGCTGCAGCAGCTTCTGGCATTGATACAGATGGAGGTTGAGGTGGGACCCACCTGCGTTCATGTACAGGATTACTGTCCTCCATCTTTCTGGATTCAGCCATTCTATCTTTTTGCTTCCACCAGCTATCATACCAAGGCGCGGGATTCTCATAGTTAGGAGGCAGACCACCTTCCCAAGGCTAATTACATAGCACCGAGGTGATAAAAAGAGGGAGAAAACAATTAACAGTTAGATTTCAATTAATCCAACTACAAAAACTCAAATGCATTGACATTTATTCACCCTTGGTCATATTCCTGAAATTCCTCACATAAGAAACATACAGAAGCAATTTATGCATCAACCGTCAAAGAAAAAAATATTTGAAGCATGTGATAATATATGTTTATGAGATGATAAGCATAATTACTTGGAGATTGTCAAGAAGCAAACTGAATTATATCAAATTTTAATACCTTAGCTCTAGGAGCCAGATTTGGGTTTGATATGGGTTGATTAGGATTCGGGGGTTGATCATCAATTTCCTGAAGATTAAGCCAATAAATAAGACTAAAATCCAAATTAGTTGTTAAAAATGTAGTGATATGATATTCACTTACTCTGACATTAGGTGGTCTTTCCCCTCTCTGCACCATAGCCATGATCTGCAACAATAATCAAGAATTAATAACCAGAAGTTGGTAAATGGAGAAAAATAATAATTCTGCATGGAGTACAACACACTATGCTGAGACAATTTATGCATAAGAAGAAGAAAGAAAACAAACCTCCCCATAGGATTTTGGATGAGGAGGCTCAGCTGATGCAGGTGGTGAAACCGACCTCACTGTACGAAAGGAAATACACATATTAACTGAAATGCACATTGAAAGAGTTCAGCATCAACAAGTGAAGCATAAAAATGGCCTCACCTGATCGCATGTCAAATTCAGAATTCCTGCCCATTGGTTGCTGAATATGTAAAGAAGAAAACAAAGGGTTAATATGAAAACTGCAAGCTCATCCAACCTTAACATCAAAATTCTAGGCCAAGTGTCAACTCACCACTGAACGCGCTTTAGAGCCATCTAGGTATCCTTCCCTGACATTGCTTCTCACACCACTGTGTGATTTCCCTGAATATAGACAGGCCAAAGGCAAATGAATATGAACAGCAATATGAGATGATATGGCAATAGAAGAATGCATCACAATCCTTATACATCAACAGATAGATATTCAAATTTATGTAGGATTGAAATGAGCCTACGCAACACTAAATCCAAGTTTAATACGAGTCGATGCAACATAGTGAAGGTTGTAATAAAAAAATAATCAGCTTAAAGGATATTTTGCACCAAGCAAAAGCGAAAGCATAAACTCTTTCTATTAATGATCAGCAACTATTCAATAAAAAAATTATCACAAAGTCTCCAAATTTTTTGGGAGGATGTCAAGGACAATAGAAACAACTTGTTCAAAAGAACATAGATGGCTGGAGACTGGAGTAGTTTAAAGATATTTTTTTTTATGAGGAAGTGAATACAAATTTATGCATGAAGACATTTTGTTCCACCATTAGATTCAGAATGTGATCAATGAATCAATGATCAATATAGTACTCGTCATTTGTAAAGAAGAAAGCAACAATATTTAAAACTAGAGATGATAATAATATATTAATAATCTTGAATCAAGAGCGACCAATGGAAGATCAATAAAGTACAGAAATAAGTTGATAGCACAAAAGCAGTTGGTATGCTAAATTGTCAATCAAAATGTGTAGCACACTATGTTTAGAATCTTAGTACACAACAATAGACAAATGAAATCAACCTGAGAAGGATAAGAGAAAGTTATTTAGATATTGAGTGGTTCTAAGCTTCTAAATGAGTAATGACAGAAGCCATCCAACAAAAAGAGTGCTCAAAGTCATAAAACATTTGCAAAAAAACTCTTACATGCTGTTTGGCTAAACATTTATGGAGTAATTAAGTGGAATTAAAACCTTAATATAAATTAATTTTTACTTATCAACTTCTCATTCTATCTTTTAACTCGTGACAAAAGGAAAAAGTCTTTGCAATTCCAATATTATACATAACATGATAATTATGATTAGAATTTAAACACGGTATTCTCATGCTAACTATTTAAAATAAGGTATTTGCATGTACATAGAAGAAACAACTCACAACCAAACATGAACACAAAATAAACTCTAGCAGATTCATAGGTCACCTTCTAATCTTGTCATTTCACTTCTCATTGACCTGAGCTCCTGAACTTGCACCTCCAACAAGCTCATGAAATCCGCAAAGCGTTCCTTTTCTGAGATGGTTAAAAGATATACAATTGGAAGAGGTAAAATCAAAAGAACGGAAAATTATAAGTGGGATAAAGCTTTAAGTAACAAACCCTCATTCTTTGAGATCACCAATTCTTGACTGGCCTTTGCAACATCAGCCGCTGCAGCAGCAGCTGCTTTTGCAGCTGCCGTGGCTTCTTCAGCCAAACTCGGTTTTTTATCTGTTTCCTCTTCATGGGAATCTTCATCCATAACAACCCCACGAATCCAAGACTTCAGCCTAGGAATGAGAGAATTCTGCAGATGAGACACATCTCACATTATTAACAACATATTGAAAGGCTAACAAGAAGAAAAAATAATAACAACTACGTAAATAAATAAAATTCTACAACCAAATTAACTAACACAAAGGGGAAAAGGAAATGGGAAATGTAAAAGATAAAGAATTAAGACACTTGAAAATTTTAAGAACTGCTACAGTACTCAATTACTCATACCTTAAAAACTATAGCTGTTCCAGCACCAGATATGGCCAAAAATCCTACAGCAAGCACCGCATGCGACCAGTGGAATCTTCTAGCCATTGTCGACATGACACCGGATTGAACTGGAGCCACAGACTGCACAGCTTGCAGAGGGACTTGAGCTTGAATATTCGTAGCAGGAGTTGGTTGTGCAACTGTAATGATAGAAAAAACATGTAATTCACAAGGTAGGACACGTCCAAACAACCTCTTAGATTTATACACATTATAAAGCTGCTTCAAGGTTGCTAAACTCATATATACCAATGTATATTACCTTGATTTGTGCTACTTTGACCACTGGCAACAGCAGGAGATGGGTCCTGTATTTTTTACAGAATGTCAAGCTACATGACAAGCAATAAAGGGCCACGAAGAAAGACAAACAAGACAAGTCGTGCACACAGACACAAGGACTATAAGTTTTCTAACGCATCTTGAACTTTCTTTTTACCCTTTCCCTATAAGATTTCAGTACAAACTACAAGTGAGTTACTTACAGGTACACGGCGGAATGCTTCATCGATTTCCTCTTTTGTGAGACCTTTCTTCTCGAGAAAATTTCTTCTGTGAATCACGGGAGATCCTTTAACTCTTGGGTGAGAGAGGAAATTGATAGCATTTCGTACCTGATCCTCTCGTATAGGTTGAGAATTTACAAATACAGATTTTGGTGAATTTTCTGCAGGAAGCTCCGGTGTTGCTGGGGGTTTATTCTCTACTGATTGTGCAGGTTCCGGAGCTGTAAATGTGAACAAAAGGAATCTGAATAATATGCAACTGTAGTATGTGTACAACATCCACACATCAAACTGAATAAAATCCCTGAAAATCGGTCAGAAAAACTGAAGAGGTCCCAGTGATGCTATATTTGTTCCATTGGGCAGGATAATTGATTAGATGTCAAAACACTGATAATTAGATGAATAACATGTAATTCCAAGTAAACATTCTTTGAGCTTTTGAAGTACACAAGATCATAAAAGTGCAGTGTTAATTCAGACAGTAGTTTTGTCCAAGATTACACAAAGATGCACTAAATTTTCATCCCCAAACAGCTAATGCAAAAGATATGCACATTCACTTTCTTTTTTTTGGAACAAATTAAGAAATTGTTTTTCATTCGCGTTGAATATAACAGCGAAACTACAGGTTATGCTATGCATCATCCAGAATTCTGATATTTAACTGAGAAAATTTAAAGGAATGCTAATTTTCTGCTGAAACTGAAAATTTTACAAGCATGAATCTCCTTTTCAGGCCCTACTAAATGATGATTACAGTTTCCGATTAAATAAATGCTAATTTTCTGCTGAGCATGAAAATCTTTCTACCATGCTTCACTTTTACTAGACACAATCTTGATATAATTTGACAATTTTGAATGTCCAATGTTCATTAGTGGCGTAATAACTATAGAATACATCATATACAATAAACAAACCAATTACAATACCGTAATTAACTAACCCCACCAATTATTACAACCCACCAAATGAATTGTTCAAGATTATAATTACAGCAAAAGATTAATTTCAGCTAAATATCAACAACTTACAACAATCTAAATTCAACAATAAAACTTCCCAAAATCCCAGAAATTAGAGCATGCAATCTTGAATAATGAGCACTTAATCTGATTGTAAACGAGCAGAACAAGTAGTTTGCAAACGATTCGGATGATTATTCTACTCAATCAAATTAAAATCTAACTGGGTATATTTCAAATTGACAAACAAATGATCAAGAACAAGTAAGAAAGATAGAGAAAGACCTGGATTAGAGGGGTTATTGTCGGAGGGATTTGATGGGGGTGCTTCGCTCGCCATTTTACACCAACCCTCAAATCATGAAATCAAACTGTAACAAAATTCCAGTGTAAATTTAGAATTAAACACGAAAATCTTGAATAATGAAATTATCTGTGAAAGCTATAGTTTGGGAGGAGAGAGAAAGAGAGAGCTTACTGGGAGAAAGTCGAGAAAGAAAGAAAACGAAGAAATGGAAAGAGTTGAGAAAATGAAGGTGGTCTTCGAGTGTAATGAGGTGTGAAATTTCCAGTAGACGCCAAAATTCAATCCCTCTTACAGTCTTTAAATTATATTTTCGGTTTATCCCTTTTTTTTGTGAGATGGGGGAGCTAAGGTCACTTGATGTGTTTTCGAGACTCGGGAATATCAAGAATGGTGCTTTAGAGTTTAGACCGGCATTATACCAAACGCATGTTTAAAGGTGAGAGGTTATCTATGTTCGACAAAAATATAAGATTCACCATGTATAAGTACTTCTAGCTACGTATAAAATATTTGTATGTGAAATTCCACGTGTTTATGTGAATTTTGCATACAAATATATTATAAGAAGTTGAGTATGTTTTCATTAAACCAAAAACTTTTTAATCAATTTGCATTCAAACTTCAATTTTTGTTGTAAAATTAAGGTGATTTCTTCAAGACTTTATGTATCGTAAGGAGGAGATGATGATCATTATGTAAGAGGATAGTATTGCATACTTACACAAATCAATTTCGAAATCCTCCAATTCCAAGCACAAGTAAATTATAAGCTTCAAACTCAAAGTCAATAATAATAATTTAAAAAAAAAAAAAAAGCTTCCCTACATCTCCACCAACTTTGTTAATTAATTAGTAATAGTATGTTATAGTATTATTAGGTCAGTTTTAGTTAGGCTAATCATATGGACGTTTTTTTAAAGCCTTAAAGCTAGATTTTCACTTGTTGTAAGCTAAAGGCCTTTCTTCAAAGGCAAAGGCCAAAAGTACCTTTTCCAAAAATCATAGCTCTATTGCATATTTGCACGAGTAAACAATGTAATGACCAAGTTACTCACAGATACAAGTTACAACAATTTCTCCACTAAGCAAAGCTTGGCCTAGTGGGAACATTTGCATCTCACAACCAAGAGGTTGTGGGATCAAACCCCACTAGAGGCACTTTGGGGTGGGGATTCCTAACTCTCTCCCCACCCACTCCCCCCCCCACCCCTCTTCCAAATCGCCTAACCCGCTAACTTAGGCCAGGAGGACCTATAAGAGGTTCTGGCCCGATAGATCCCTTCTCCTTACCAACCAAAAAAATAAGTAAAAAAAAAAAAACTACAACAATTTTCCATCTACTCAGATATCCATGAGGCAACTTGAAAGAAAATTTCACTATATAATTTTAATTCATATGAAAGATGAACACAATCTATTTAACCAGAGTATTCGTTCTACATAGACCACAAATAATAACACCCCACCTCTCCCTCTCTACCAGAAGCAAAACCCGAGACAAAGCTTTACAGATGAAGCAAGAACCTGTTATCTTTCAAAAACAGAGGAGAATCAAACCTAACACAATTTTGTAACTAAAAGTAAGGATGACATGACAAATACTCCTTATCTTTATCAATACTGCAGATCATTGTACTCTCTGAAGCAGTTTATCTACAGTAATCTTTTGTTGTGCGGCACTTAGAGACTCTGATTTCATGATTGCATTACTAACCAAAATCACTGTTGATGGAGATTCAGCATTCACCTGGAATGGAAATGACATATTACACCACAGGATAACATCCACAACTACCAGTAAAAGAGAAACGAAAGATTCTAAATCCAAAAAGAAGACGATAAGATTTATGCAGCAAGATAGGAAAAAATTAAAACCATAATGATCCAATACTACAAATGGCAGCAACCACAATGCCAAATAAAGCATGCTGTTAAGAAAAGAAATCTTCCAAGAATAATACCCAAACTCGGCCATTTAAACCAACAGCAATCTCGAAAGACAGCTTCTTTCCAAGACCCTCAAGAATTGGGCATGTGGGAGTACTCAGAAGCCTACATATACAAAGTAAAGGGCATAAATAATTAACAAAGCTGAGCAAAATAATTTCAAACTTTAAGCTAGTTTAACATAATATTTTATCTTTACTCGAATAATTTTAAAATAATTAGTTTAAGACAGTAATTTATCTTTATCGGATAATATTCAGACAATAACATGTCTATCTACTAATAGAAAGAAATTCTTTTATTTTATCATAAGTAATACTACGTAGATTTCAAGTTTTTGATTGCCAGCAATTTTTGGCATGCATATTTTACTTTCATACAATGTTGTGATATTCCAATATTATTTTGACTTTTCAGCCAAACTCACCAAGCATTAATAAGAATGGCAAATTACATTTTTTACATACTTTTTGGTAAGGAAATTTTTAAATTCAATACAAAGGACATAATACCAAATTATGAATCAACACAATTGACTGGGAAGGAGAAAGCGCTTACATTCGTGAAAGCCCAGTTGATGTTTCAATCATGTAACCTTCCTTAAGTGGGCCAAATTCTGCTGCTTTACCGTTTGCTATATATAGACACAAAATAACAGAAATAAGTAAGTCGCATCATATTGATTTAGCTGAATGCATGTAAACTTGAAATGACCAGAACCCACCATCTGTGCACGATAGCTCTGGGTTCATGCCAGCATTTGTCTTAACAACACGAGCATAAAGCAAAGTTCCAATCTGAAATAGAAAACAGAGACTGATCAAAACAGAAGGAAAAACAAGGGAAGGATGTAAAGTATTTTTTTAATATTCATATCAGAAGGCAGCTTCACAATCTAACAGCACACTCAACATCTACATAGACTATGTTATCGTATAATTTGGTAGTTCTTACTCACCTATTGTCGCCTAATAAGATAAGGCGCAGAAAGCAGCCTAGAAAAAAGTGCATAGGCATGCACCTTTTGTAGGTCTTTGCGCCTAGCAGAGCCAAATGCCAGCTCTCGTGCCTGACTGTGCCTTGTGCCAAGGCGCAGAAAGCAGCCTAGAAAAAAGTGCATAGGCACGCACCTTCAGTTGGACTTTGCGCCTGGCAGAGCTAAGGCACCAGCTTTCACGCCTGACTGGCGTTGCACCTAGGCACGCCTAATGCACATTGTTACAACTAAGCAAAGCACTTCATGTTTCAATCTCAAAGCATCCCAATTTTCTCCACAATGGTATCCTCACAAATTTGATAGTCAATCACGAGTCAAATAAAGACCATGGTAACTGATCATCACACTGCTCTGTTATCCAAAACATCAAAGGCAAGAATTTCAACTGTCAGGATGTTGTATAGTGACATCCTCAAAATTTGGTCACAAAATTTATAATATTATAAATTAACACTGGAATGGTCCTCAAAGAGTTTTCTTGTGTTAAGAGTGAGTTATGTTGTAAACTTCGTCAAGAAAAGTAGGGTCCCTCCAATAAACTACGACTTCGAAAATCAGGTTTACTACAACATCAGATCCTTAACAACTTAATCAGTCAATCAAGTCAAAGTTCATTTAGGATTTAAGAAATAAACAATAAACAACAAGCTTGAACTTGACTAAACCAAACTATAGTATGATAGACTAGCCTAAAGGGAAAGGTCGGTTGTGGTAATGCAAATTATTCATTTAGGGTTAGCTAAGGAAAAGGGGGACAGAGAGTTTGTCATATGGAAAAGAAATCAGAATGTATAGAGGTGATTAGAGAAGGATGAAGTAGGCAGATAATAAAGAGAGCAATTCCATTTTGTATAATATAGCTTTTAATTTGAGAGTGTCCAACAACTCAAAGGACTGGGTTGTAATTTTTCTACTGTAATCCACCATCATCATCTTTATCCGCCTGATTTTCTCCTTATTCTAAAAATTTAGTGCTTAAGTAACATGCACCGCCTACCTCCAGAAACATTTAAGCTTTATTCACAGTAGCAGCACGGAATGAGTAAATACAAAGATATCAAAATATATCTATAGAATTAGAGACCAGTTTCTGTTGGTCACTACTTGGTCCACATTGGTCTAAACCAGTTCTAAGCACCCTATAAGATTCCCTAAGGTACTTTGACGAATGAGAGACTATTTGAGCAGTTCTTAGAAAGCAATTTCTACAACTCCAAAAGGTATTCAGCCTTCATACCTCAAACCTTGGAATATTACGCCTAATTACTCCTTCAAAAGCCATCACAGGCAAAACTGCCAATGTGGGTCCCTTGATGTCCACAAGAAAGTTCTGCACATAACAGGAACAGAAGACAACACATTTAACTCCATATAGATTTACCAGTCTTATAAGGTTTAAGGGAAGAGCAATGTTGAAGTTCTCAAAAAAAAAAACTTAGAAGGAAAAAAAAAAAACTTCTCAGAAGAGGTACATCAGCCAGATAAGGGAATGATGCATACATTATAATGATAAGACTACCTTTGGAAGCATTTTCTGCAACTGCTTTAAGAAGAAAATCAACTGCTAATAAAAAAAAAAATTATACCACCAGTTTACAATGTTCTAATATTCAAGCAATTTGTCCATCAAAATTTTGTCTTTTTCAACAAAGTTGCTGAATAAATAGCAAATCAATGCTAACAATGACACCCAAGGAAAAAACCATAATCTTCTCCTCTGGTAGAAAATAAAACATTGATAATAAGTTTAGTGCCTTTAGTTCAACTTCAATTTTTATAAAGATAAACATGAGATGTAGTATGGTCAGGTCTCCATACTTCAATAAAGAATATTGCAAATTCAGCATATGATCCTTATCAATAATCAATTTCTATCTGGATTTAATTGTCAGATTGCTCGCTCATTTATACTATCAATATTAAGGGCACAAGGAGTAACAATTTTCATTAAAGAATTTAGAAAAGGTTAAAATTCGACAATACCAAAGTCAACAGCACAAGGACATCATATAAACTGATAGCTAGTAACAAAAGAATGGGATGAAGCAAACAGAGATAAATGCTTACATCAGCTCTGCATTCCACCACTATGCCAAGAACATGATCCTCCACACACGGTACATACTGCAAAAAAAGAGATAATCAAGAGCTTTTATGATCATATAATGCATTTTTGCGCCGCATTGCACAATGTTGTGTAATTAATCAAAGCTGACCAAACAAATTAAGGAGTAAAGTGTATAACCATTCATGTAAAAGCAATGATCAGTGATACGGAACCATAAGTTACATACATATGCACAACATCAGTCACATATTGTATTAAAAGCTTAATTGACAACAATCAGCTAATAATTCTTCATATCAATTGGATTTCCTTGAAGAAGTTATAGACATTATTACTCATCATAGTCCAAACTACTCGGATTTCAATCACAGTCCATAGTATATAAAGAAAAAAGAAAG